CAGTTGATACATCAGGCTTTTATGGCTCATAAAGTATGGTACAGTAATATAGGACAATATGAAGCTTATACTTAAGGTGGAAAAAATGCCTCAATTTTAATCAAAGGCCCAAACAGAGCAAAAATATGCAATTTGGTGCAGTTGCTGACATTTATATGACCAAAAAGTAAGATAAAATTCTGATAGCTTGTAATGTAATTCAATGAGATCTTTATAACATAGCATAATGCTTGCTGCACAGAGCAGCCATACACACTCATGGTGCTGCACCAGCTAAAAGTGTACAACATCCAGATCCGTTTCCTTGGAAACAAAAATGGATATTCCCTGGGCACTGGCCTAAATGGTGTCGAGGTAATGGCATCTGTTCATTCTGACAGAAACGTCAGTCATGAATGATATCCTGATTAACCCTGTAAAGCCTGGTGTATAAAACACTAGTCAGAAAAATCATGGAACAGTTTATCAAACCTTTAGACAAAACAAAAAAAAGTTATTATTATTATTATTTATTTATTTTTTTTGAGTATCACAGTTGATACATCAGGCTTTTATGGCTCATAAAGTATGGTACAGTAATATAGGACAATATGAAGCTTATACTTAAGGTGGAAAAAATGCCTCAATTTTAATCAAAGGCCCAAACAGAGCAAAAATATGCAATTTGGTGCAGTTGCTGACATTTATATGACCAAAAAGTAAGATAAAATTCTGATAGCTTGTAATGTAATTCAATGAGATCTTTATAACATAGCATAATGCTTACATAAAATTATTAGTTTATTAGTTTCATAAGCTTATTATTAGTTTCATAAGCTCTGGGCAAAACATAAAATGCAAAATGATACAAAGATGATTAAGAGACATACAAATACATTTTCCTCATATGCCCAATCATCTATCTTTTTTTATTTTTCTAAAAAAAAAAAAGATGTACAGATAATCAAGTAAACCTACGTTGCTTCAGTATAGTTTATTTGATAAAAATCAGTAAAGATTTCACAGGAAAAAGACATGTTTACCACAACCTGAAATTTAAGACATTTTAAGACCTTTTTAATACCACCTTATGTAAAATGTAAGACCAAAACTGTGATGGATAAGCACATTATACAGTATTACATACGTTTATTTAATATTTAATGTGTTCAATGTAAAAAGAAAACAAAATATGATCGCCGTCAAAAATGCTATTTATTATTAAGATACACAGTGAACTTTTCATATCAGCAGACAATTTCAAAATATCACCACAAAAGTACAGAATCACCTAGATTTTTGGTGGTGTAACAATTTATTCAGAAGCAATATTTTCCTCAGAGTTCTATCAGCTTTTACATACGTAAATCTGCATGTTTTTAATATTTACCCCAGGCAGGGGAATGCACTCATGATTTTTGAGGGGGCACGTGGGGGCGGGGCCGGGGGGGGAGTGTCATGTTTGTCATGTGACACAGCAGCCACGATAGCACTGCATAACTGACATAGGTTTATGTTTAATTTTTTTCCCTTTTTATTCAAAATAATTCCAAACATGTCAACTATATCAGGAAATATCTCGATTCTCAAATATGTGTAAGTAAATGCGTTTTGCACCTTTATAGATTATGTTATTTGATCAATAAATGGTAATGGGCAAAGTAGACTAATAGTGTAACCTATTAGGCTAACTACACATAAAAACCCGACTTTTTAATTAAGTACCAGATATGGCTGTCATGCCATAAAATATTTTTAATACGACTGACTTCGTATTTAATGTGAATTTAATAACAATATTGTATGTTACTAATTATAACACTTTCAGAGAGCAAAGTACACATTATCAAAGAACATTTTCATTTAGTCTAGTCAGAGTTCAGGCACTCTCAAAAACTCCCATTAAAATCACTGAAGATGTTTACACTGTGAAATGAATATCTTAACTAACATTCGTAACATTCGTAATGTACACTGCAAAATTACAACTGCAGGAAATAATGTTATGAGATTAGTGTTTTAAATAAAATTTTGAATATACATATAAGAAATGTTGGGGAAAAATGCATACTTTTAAACATAAGACTAAACCACCAGTAGGTGGCGGTAAGTCACTTATTCCTTCAAAACGCTGAATCATTCAGTAACAAAAACGCTGAGTGTTGCTTGGAGAATGTGCAATACTTCTGTTCTGATCTTTGTTTGGAACTATTTTTGTTAGTGAAATAGAACAAAACAGTCAAAATGGTGTCTAAAATGTAAGTAACTTAACTTTTTTTTTTTTTTTTTACTAAAATCAGTGTAACATTTACAACCATGAAAATTCAGCAAAATAGCTCCCTTGTATGTTACTTAACTACGTCATGGGCAAGTAAAATTCTCGAGCCATTTTTCAGTAAACTTGCATTTACCCATTTAAAGTAGCTAGGAGGCTGGTCAACTAGCTAGTTCGACCTGTATTCTCTCTGATGACGCGTTAACTACAGCGGGGGGGGGGGGATCTTAAATCTGTCCAATGATTGTAAACAGTCACTGGGTCAGTCAGACAGGAGACATTTTTGTGGTAATGTGACCAAAAATATTTAAAACCCACTGAATCTGAATTTAAGACATTTTAAGGCCTTTTTTTAAGGAAAACTTTATTTAAGATATTAAGTCTTTTTAAGGACCCGCAGCCACACTGTTTTTAGAATAATACTTTAAGGCCTTTTACTTGTTGAAAAAGTATAAATTATCAGTCAGATGACAGAAGGCATGTAGTAGATTGTGTACAACAGGTTTTTAGCAAACTTTTGAGCATGTTGATAATTTAGACGTCTTATAAAGTTGTGTATCAAATACACAACAGTAGGTTTTATATAGGGTTAATTAAAAGGCTTTAAAGGGTTAATGAAAGTGAGGATTGTGTTTTAGATGATCAGCTGTGGTGATATTTATTGGTTCAGTGATATTTCCTCAATTAATCGACTGTATGTGTGTCCCAGAATTTCTCCAGTGTCGTGGACATGGTCGCACATCACATGAAGACCCCACTGATTCTGATAGACGGAATGGAGCGTGGAGCAGGACCTAATCGCCAGTGCTGCCTCATGCACCCGGCAGGTTTCTGAACCCACAAAGCAGAAGAAGAATCTATGTAATGCTGACTGGATTCCAGTGTCAAACAGACTTACATGGAATTCAGACACTTTGTCTGGTGAAATGCAGCAATTATAAAGTTAGCAATCAACACCAGGATATTTAAGCACTGAAAAATTATGACTAAATGAATAAATCATTCTCAGTTTAATTTGATCCGACAAGACTGTCTACACCTTTTAAATTGAAGATAAATGTTTAAACACTTTCAGTGTTAAAATCAAGCATTTTAGACTCAATGTTAGCTAGAGGCAATTTGACTTATTATCAATTCTTAAAATGTACATTTGTCTGTTCTAAATTAAATATTCCTAATGTTTTTAGTGTTTGAACTTATTGTTTCCTATTCAATTGTGAAGTTTAAGTGAAAAAAGCACTTCTCTTGAGTTACGTATTTAGTCTTCCATTGTTTGTTGATGGCTTAACCACGTTAGGGTTTCCACGTCAGTCTGGAGACACGCCATTTTATCAGGGTGTGTGAAGCACACAGTCAGGTTACACTGCAGCAGCTGGATCTTCACTGAAAACAAAAGGTGTAGTGGTTGAACATACAGCAAGAAGAACACAAGAAGACACCCTCTCATTCCATTCTGACTGACTGAAACATAACCAGCACCAACAGGTTATGTTTACTGTAATCAAAGTACATAAATAGAAGCATTCTGTTATGTATTATGCAAAGGTTACTGCTAACGTACACCCAAAGAGAAAATCTATCAGCTCATTATCATTTTACAGTAATCAATCTAAAATACAGCTACAGCAGGTCTAATCCACAAGTAACTGCCAAAATATACAACAATATTTAGTTCTACTTAACTGGATATGCAGGGCTCAGCAATAGATGTAGCCAACATGTTTTCTCTAACAAATCTAATGGCTATATGACATCATAAAACTCATTATTGACAGTCCTGGAGGATTTGCGGGATGTTCTGAGTGCTGATATGTTTGTGTTAGCATTTACGGTGGTCACAGATTAATGTCTTAGCACTGACATGAAATTTGTTCATGTAATACCCATTTCAAAGCCACCAGAAGAATTTATGCCAGCACTCGAAAAAAGGGGAACTATTAAACTGCCAGCACATTTCAGATTTGTCAAAACATGAGTATGCAGAGATGACTTTTCAAACGGTATATTATTATTATTACATTTCATAAGGTAATTTTACAATACTGTTGAAAAATCTAAGAAAATAAGGTTGGGATTAGGTCCAACAGTCACTGAATTATGCTAACAAAAAGAAGTTCTAAATTAGCAAGTTTACCTTCCAATTGGTCAATCAATTCCGACATTAAATCCAACTGCTTCAAGATATAATCCAAGCCATCTGAGGTCCCATGTTCGCTATTCTCTGTGGAATTTCCCTCAGACTCCATCTGTAAGACACACAGAGGTAAGGATAATTATGTATTACCGTTTATGTGGTCTCCTTCTGTCTTAAACGGATGGCACTCGCAATAAGAAAATCTAAAAATGGAACAGCATTTTTAGGTAGCATGGATGCAACACATTTTACAAACCCCATGAAGCTCTGATAATTCTAATAGATTTGACAAAAGGTTTAGTAACTTTTTCTTAACGTGTAAACACTAAATCATTAAACTCATCTGGAAGAACACTGAAATATGCATACAAAAATGATGCCATGAGCAGAACATTCAGAAGCCCCTTTTTTTGCATTTTAATGGCATTGGATTAATCAGATTCACAATCAGCATGTTTGCTTGGTTGATATTTTTATTAATTTGTATGAGGGAATAAAACCATGTTAATCACAAATATACAGTGGCACCAAACAACTCTGGCAGATCTAACTGTATCAGTTTTAACAACAGTAACATCATCTTATCAGATGCCTCTGTTCTACATTGAAACTTTATTTTTGGGGGATATTATGTTCTTCAGCAGCAGGATGACCATTTTGATCTTGTCCATCTGTGGGACCACAGATGACAGCTTTGCACTTGAGGAACTCATTCTCCAGGCTCTTGAAGGATTCAGCAAGATCTGGACTGGTTCGGAGCACAACCATGTCATATGCCATCCAAGACAACTTCACTGAGGACAAAGAAAATAAAAATTACAGTCGATTTTTCATTCACACCATTGTTTTTATATTTAATGCAGTATTTGTTTGCTATCTACCTGAAACATTCTCCATTTGTTCAGTCATCTTCTCCAAATGTTGGTTCAGGTGTAAACTCTCACGACTGAAGTCCTCACATAATCGCACACTCGAAATATCGTCAGACATCTAAAACCCAATAAAGTCCGTAACTCCCGCTGGATTGCTGTTACTTAATCTTACACGTTAAATTAGTTATATTTTCATTAAATAAGACCAAGTTTTAAACGCACATAATCAATTATACACGTTTTTCTTTCATCCGTTTTCTGTCATTCAAATGTAAATGTACCTCAGGTCAACATTGCTTTAAATTACGTTAATAAATGAATATACATGTAGTGTGTATAGAAATTCAGAACTTAATTAAATTAAATTACCTTGGTAATGTATCGAACTGCAGACAATTTTAATGTTTCGTGTTTTATTGCGACTGCCGACAGTTACTGGAGCAATGCGCGCGACACCTAACTAAGTTTTAACGGCTCTCGCGCGTGCACACTCAAATACCGTACACGTGGTCGAATCGTCTATAATCTCGCTTTCTTTTAAGGGATATCCGCTTTATTTACACGAATCGGTTCTTTAAAAGTGTTATTTTCAGAAAACCTATTAATAAAACGATTAATCGATTCTTTTACGTCATGACGTCCTCCCTGACGTCCCGACGTGGCCAGCTAAATAAATGAATGAACGAACGAACGAATGAACACATAAATAAATATAAATAAATGTTATTTAATAATACACTGTAATACAGTTTGCATTTATATTAAGCACTATCTCTTGGCTAAAATGTTATTGCATGCTTGAATTAATTACAACCACCACTTTCCATAAGCGAAATGAATTGATGGTGGTGGCTCTACATAGAACGGTTGAATGACAAGAATGTAAACACCATTCTAGTACAAATAAAAGCTGCAGTTGAAACTTTTCCATCAATAAATTACTGCTTGTTCCTCATAAAATATTTTGAGAAGATAAAGTTAGGTTTCAAATATATATATATATACAGTATATATATATATAGCCTATGATGTTTATGATGTCATATATATATATAAAACATTTATTTTCAGGAGATTTAGGTGGTTGTAACTGAAAATTCCAGTGTGTCAGGCTAAACTATGTGAATGCCTTCAGGTGATGGTGGTGCTGCTGGTTTGTGGATGAGTGGGTGGGTGGTTGTGGGGGTTGTGTCAGGAAGAGCCTAAACACGTGGAAGGTTTCAATAAGGTGGAACTGAGGCGGTGCTACATATGCATAAATAAAACTGCTGCAACAGGTGATGATGTTGATACAGCAGAATAAAGCACAACAGCAGAGAGGACTCACGCAAGACAACTCCGACTGGAAACAACTTGGAGCGCCTGAAATTATTCCTGGACGGTAAGGTAAAAAAGAAGTACAGGTCATCAGAGAGAAAGAGAAAGACTTTCCAAGTGGAACACATCCAGATCACTCAGCAATGACATCCTATGAATCTCAAGGTCAGTCTCCGACGAGATGTGGCCCTCAGTTCCCAAGCGTGGGACAGGAACCTCCAGAATTGAGTCTGTACAGCGACAGCTACTATCCACCACCATCACTGCCGAGTCCACAGCGAGCAAATCCTTCCTCATACGAACTCGGAGACTACGCCGCCTCATCGCCTAACCCCTACCTGTGGTTCAACAGCCCAGGGATGAACAGCACTCCTTATCTGGGTGGAACGCCAGGCCCTGCAGGACCTCCTTTTGTTCCCCAGCACTACGGCATGCAGAGGGCCTATTTGGGACCTGGGGGACCAGGTGGTCCTGGTGGCGAACTGAGCTGGTTCTCCATGCCTTCTCAAGAGGAAATTATGAAGCTGGTCAGGCCACCTTATTCATACTCTGCTCTTATTGCGATGGCCATACATGGTGCACTAGATCGCCGCCTCACTCTAAGTCAGATTTATCAGTATGTTGCAGACAACTTCCCTTTTTATAACAAGAGCAAAGCAGGATGGCAAAACTCTATTCGTCACAACCTCTCACTAAACGACTGTTTCAAAAAGGTTCCACGTGATGAAGATGATCCAGGTGAGTGTTTGTCTCTTTGATTCTTTTTTATTGAATCAAGTTAAAAACTCTTTAAAAATTACTAAAATGATATAGTCTTAATAATAATAAATTATATACAAATTACACATTATTTCATATTTAAATATTATTTATATAAATATGAATATGTATTTATCATTTTTATTAATTTTAATAATATATGTAATTTATTATTATATTTCAATAAATAGTTTTTATTTTTATCATTTTTAATAAATAATTACTATATAATACCTAGATTATTTTTTGATCATGCAACTGTATTTAATGTGCAATTTATCTCTCATTTTAAAGGGAAGGGTAATTACTGGACCTTAGATCCAAATTGTGAAAAAATGTTTGACAACGGCAACTTCAGACGCAAGAGGAAGAGAAAGTCTGACATTCTCCCAGAGAATAGCAGTTCTGGAGGGAATCTGAGCTCTGAGTCAGGAGACAGTAATGGCAGGGGCAGTCCAAAAAATCAAGCTGTTGACATTTCCACTTCGCCTGAAAAGGGTCCTTCACCCGCATCCACGGGTCCGTCACCATGCTTGAGCAACTTCCTGACTGAGATGTCTGGTGTAGCTGGTTCTCTCGACATGGAAGGAGATCCCCTGAGTCGTCCCTTTACACTCAGTCTGCCGGTGGATGGAGCACAGAGAGCATCGCAACCCGCAGGGTTTTGCACTTACTCCCCCAGCTCCACGGTGTCCGAGTGGGCGTTACCTCTGCCCCCACCACCCCCCATTTCCCCATCACCCTCCCACTCCACTTTAGCCTACAGCGGGCCTGCTCTCAGTCAGTTCAATGGGCATTTCTACCCTGGTTTGAGCTCGACAGGTATTCTTTATCCTCGGGAGGGCACAGAGGTGTAGGAAGGGAAGCGGGTGACAGCCAAAACAGAAAAAACTGAATGATCAACTCACGCTACAGACTCTGGGGGCAAGAAAAAACTGTTGTTTTCCTGAAACTATACACTGCTTTTGGCCTAACTGAAATCCTTTGAGTTCTGTGGGCACAAGATACGAATGAATTCCCACAGGAATGGCCTAGTCAGCATGAGATATCACAGGCTGACTCTAGCAAAGGCCCCTGTTACCAGTAGCTCTGACCTGAGGTCAGCTGCTGACATCAAGCCATTTTACGCACACATATCTGATTCTTACGTAGCTCATATTACTGACACTGAATTCAAGCACATACTGTATGTGGGCAGAGAAACTCCAGTGAAAATACATACAGTATAGCAGATTTTCTTCTGCTGCATGCTGGTATTGTCATATGATAATGTCAGTCTTTGTATTTTAACATGTCAATGTGTTTTATGTATAGTTGTAAAGTTGGGTATGTGTGAAGGATGGAGTGTATTTTATTTTATTTTACTTTACTTTACTATGAGGTCTTTAAGGGTGTATATTGCTTCTTTTTTAATAAAATATATTTTAAATAAAATTGACTTATGTTATTCATTCGAATGTTATTTAAAATAAATCCTGTTTGTATTTTACGAAAACAAATTCCTTTTAATTTTACTAAAAGCAAAGTTTATCTCAGATTTAGTGTCCATGGAAAAAAAAAAGAGATGACCTTGAGAGAACTAGAACTAGTTTCACCAGGTCACTCTAACTGTCATCACTCCTCCCTTTTTTTTTCTTGAAACTTTCACTTTGTATGTAGGCTACTGCTGAGCCCACGGTTTTTGGCAGTGCTTCATTTATACTTAAAATTTGTCAGCATTTGTATTCATGTGATGATGACATGGGAGACACAGTAGCTGCTCGAGATAAGAGCTTGATATTTTTGTTTAGTTAACAGAAAATTTGATACAGCCAGACAGTGACAGATAGTTAACAGATTCCTTCATGTTCTGCTCTATGATTTCCGTTCCATTCATGTGTAGACACTGAGGTGATGGAAATGTCATTATTCTTAAATATAGTGGCCTCAAAAAGCATTTGGACATTTATGCATTTCAAAACAATTCACAGATTTGGTTTGAAATTATAAAACAATAAATATACAGTTTCAACTTAAGAAAAAAGTATTTGGACACTTCTGGTTGTCAAATGTAAACATACATGGTTAATGTGATTTATTACAACTCTACTAAGGTCTATGTCAGAATATAACAAGAGTTTTTGCACTCATGCCGAAATGCAGTGAGTGAATGACTATAAAGGAAGTGCTTTTTGCAAGCTTTCTGTATACATCCCATTCACTATTTGGATAAATGTTTTGTTTTACAGCTGCTAAAAGGACCAACAGCCAAATTATGCTCTGCCAAGTTTTGGGAATGACAACTGCATTTCAACACTGGAGTGAATCCGTTCCAAAAATTGTTTTTCCGTGAGTCACTCACGAAATTGCAATGATTGACACTGACACAGTGATAACCACTATTGTAGTGATCGCAACGGACGGGACAAAAAAAATTTCAAAATATGTCAAATAGATTTGTGCATTTTATTACTGACTTTTCACTTGACCTTGTTAAAACCATGTTTATTTAACTGTGAAATTGTGAAATACTACGTGTTTTAATGTATTATATTAGAATTAACAGTAATTTAAATACATTTTTTTATTTTTAAATAATTAAATAAAAACCTTAAATAGTTAAAAGGAGTGTGTTCAAATAGTTCAAATCGATCATGGTACTTTTGTCACAGATATAATGACATAAGACATGGAATTTTGTCACAGATATAATTAAAAAATGAAATTAAGCAAAGAAATTGAAGTTGGCCTAATTAAACTAGCTAGGGTTTAATGCAATTTAGGTGTCTTAGTGTTGCTTAAGTGTACAAATACTGTAATGATTAAAATGCATGCTTAGCAACCAGAAAATAGATACAAATTAAAAATAATGAAATGAAACTAGAAAAAAAAAAAACAGAAACTAAAAAAAAGAAACCTTTGGTTCAGACAAGCTGAATAGTTTCTGAGACTTGATTCTGTTATTGGGGTCTACAGCCCGGAGCAGTTTCTAGAGCAGGAGTGATGTGTGTATGCATGTGTGCGTTTGTACTGTCAATATATCCATAAAAAAGCATAAAATGT